TTTATTAGTAGATAGCCCATCACGGGCCACACTCCATACCAGTAAGTGGCAGTAATGCTACTAAATGTTTGTTGCCAACCGCCAATAAAACCAACAAGAAGAAGAAGAACGGGGACTGCGAGCCCAGGTTGCTATACACTCGTTTACAATAGGTGGCGGTATGCACTTTATAGGTGCTTACGATCCGCGGTAATAGAAAAGAAGAAGAATAACCGACTGCTTAGCCCCTTTGCTCTCCAGCCAGCTTCTAGTGGAGCCTATGGCCGCAGTGATGCCTCGCAGGATCCCCGGGGCCCCTGTCTGTCTGTGCGTCCTCTGCGGGCTTCCTGCCGCGGGAAAGTCAACGCTGTCCCGCAAGATTCTTGGTACCGTTGCGGAGTGCGGCTGGAGAGCGGCAGTGGTCTCCTACGATGATCTAATCCAGGAGCAGGCTTATTACACGCAGATGGAGGAGGAGGTTGGTGTTAAAATCAAAGATATGAGAGCTTGGATAGTTGGTTGAACTTCAATGGAGATTCAGGATTTAAACTAGGAGTTTGTTACGGGTGCGCACTTACAATTTAGACCGAAAGGTATATATATATATATATATATATATATACACACTTTCAGTGTTTTTTTTTTTGTTTGTTTTTTTAACATAAACATTATTTTCTGTAATTTGGTTATTATTTTTCAACAAACAACTGCAATGAAAATATGCATTCTTTCGAGTTGTCCAAATGTGCTGATTTTAATCAATGATCCTGGAATCTGTTGGTCTTTTCTAGCACTCTAACTGGAAGTCCCACAGACAAGCAGTGTTGCAGTGCATCGAGCAGTTTTTGGAGCGGCCTGAAGTGTTCGGGGAGATGCCGAGCAGCCCTCTTATCAATGGAAGTGCCTGGCAAAAATGTGTTAGCACTCTACTTCAGCCTGAAGGGTTAAATAGAGATGGGATGCCATTGCTTCTCCTGTTAGATGACAACTTTTACTACCCAAGCATGAGATATGAAGTGTATCAACTTGCAAGAAAACGTAAGAAGTCTAGCTTCTCAATTTGTGGCAGCGTGTAGTGACACATCTGGTGGCAGGTTGGGCTGCCACAACATAGTACTGGCAGCTGCTACTAGGGTGACAGTTTATAGTGGCAGCTGCCAGTACTACGCCGCAGGCCGCCTGACCTGCCACTAGAGTGACAGTCTGCCAGTACTGCGGCGTGGCAGATAGGCAGATGAATTCTGTAAAAGGTTTAATGCAGTTTATTAAGCAATAACATCACAATATTAAAACAACAATCTACTTAGATGCACTTTAACTTTGTTAAAGTACATCTTTAACTTTGGGGCGGCAGTAAATGCAGGAGCTGATCAGGCAGCCTAGTGGCAGGTGCTCATACTACGCCGTGGCAGCCCAACCTGCCTCCGGAAGTGTCACAACAAACTGCCACAAATTGAGTTTGCTGTCTCTCCTAAAGAATATGCTCTACAGGGATTTTGAGGAGGCATTTTAACTCATGTCAATTGTGGTTCCAGTTTTTCTAGGTTTCTGCCAGGTGTTTCTGCAGTGTGACTTAGAGACCTGCATCAGGAGAAACCAAAGTAGGCCTGGACCCATTCCCGTTAAAGTGATCATGGAGATGGAGAAGCGTTTGGAATCTCCTAACCCACAAGGGAATCTGTGGGAATCCCAAAGCATCTTGCTCGACTCCACAAATGATGTGACCAAATGTGACATGTAAGTCAGCAGAATGAAGTGTTTTTGCCCCTAATTAGTTCAAAGATGCTTAATGAAGACTTTTTCCCGGTTTATCTTCCTTTGTGACTTTTTTACCAGCCAGAGAGTAATTGAGTTGATTTCGACGGCACTAAACAATCCATTGAGTCCAGCTGAAGATAACTCTGAAAAAAAGGTGCGTGTGTGTTTCTGAAATGAAGAGGAAAAACAGGAAACTGAAAGTAAATGATGTGGATTTTCAAAAAATTTATTTTATGGATATTGCAGGAAGCTGATCGTCTGAAATGTGCCAAGAGCGTGGTCCATCAGGCGGACCAGGCCTGCCGGCGTCTGATATCAGAGGCCATGCAGGCTGCCAGAGGTCAGCTGGGACCTTTCCCTAAAAAAATTAGCTAAATGTATTTTTTTCTGTCACTGTTCATAAAAATGACAAGATTCTGCTTTTATTTGTAGAACATCAGGTTCCTCCTGGAGATATGCGGGTTCTGGCTGCTCGGCTGAACGAATGCAAAGGGACATTTCTTCACGACCTGCGGAAACACTTCCTGCAGGAAGTGGTTTTCCTTCAGGAGGAGGACATCAGTGTGGAGCAGGTGGTGCAGAGAGCACTGAGGAGGGATTTCCACGACAAAAAGGATGAGATCCTCTTAAACATAATGAGAAACCAGAAAACATAATTTTTCTATCACCATTTCAAAGGTTTATAATGAATGTGTAATGCTTCTATATATTTAAATCAAAATAAACTGTATTTTTGCTAAATGTTTTCTCTTAAGTTAGTGTGACAATCCACTGAAAAATGATGTAGGTTGAAGTAATTTATTTCTTTGCAAACCACTTTTTTTTTTTATCAAATTTTTGTATATTTTCTAAACCTACAAGACAAGGGCTGCAAATTGTAGCCTCTGCTCCTAGCTCCTATTTCTTAACATTTTGCAGAAAAACTATCCCAGGACAGATATGCACATGGATGATACGATTTAAAACCAGGACTAATGCTCCAAATGAGGAATAAAATAAACATTTGCATGTGTCACACACAATATGTTGAGAAAATGAATGTATTTTTGTTAAACTGAGGTGAACTGTGCCTATGTGTCCTCCCAAGAGGTCAATATAACTAATGAACTTTAGGTAGGAAGCATCCTACTTCCTTTTTCCTACCTCCTTATTTACTGCTACCACTGTTCAGCCACTTCTGCTTTTGCTTAAGTCTTATGTTACCAATTTCCTTCATTCGAATTCAGCTGATCCTCTCTGAGTCATATTTATATTGCAGGAAAATGGAACGACGTGGACTCCATTTAACACTCCATTTAAAAAATTTTTATTGAATTTATTTTAAATGAATTGTTAGTGGGCTTTCTGAGATTTTATTTCCTTTTATTTTTTATTCCTGGCACCAATTTAAAGTTGCATTATTCTTAATTTTAGGGATGATGGTTTGATGCTGCAATTAAAAATGGCCGTTTTATTTTTATTTAAGGCGTTTTTAACATCATGGCCTTGTATGTAAAATAAAATGTGAATACTGTTTTGGTGTTTTGTTTGTAGAGAATTTAATGTGAAACAGCTTTCTCATTGTGAAATATTGATCAGAAAAAAAGAAACTCAATCAATTAAAAAAAAAAACTTTGCATTTCAAACTTTGCTGCATTTTGTTCATTTCACAAAATGAAATATTTCAGGAGTCAAACAATGCTGCAGACCATGTGGAGACTAGAAAAGTGTTTTTTTTAATACAGTTTTTAAAAAAAAAAAGTAAAACTGGAAAGCTTGATATACTGTATATACCCCATGTATGCTTAGTGCTAATATTAAATGCACGCCTAACTCTGAACGACCTATCTTGGCTTTTAACATCGCAGTGCCATACCAACCGATCCATACCTTAATTAATTTGGCTTTTCTTTTATGTAATGGATTAACTCAAAGTAGAGTATAAATATGAAGTTAAAAGGAGAATAAGACTTTCTTACTACTTAAAAAAAAAAAAAAACACCTGGAAAGTGGCAGGCACTGTCATTAATCCCTTTTCTAACAAAGATTTGTATAAAGGAGCATCTTTCAACCGATGCATCACATTGTGTTGGTCATTTGCTGAAAGAAAGTAAACCCAAAACAAATGATTTCCCTTGAGGTTTCTGAATTTTATCATCATAACCGATGGAGCTGTCATGTCTTTCAAGTGTAATAGATGCCTGAGTCCTTATATTACTTTTTATGTTGTCCACGGGCAAAATGACATGCAAAATTGTATTTGTCCATGCACATGTGACCACAGACGTTGCATTGGAATGGATGTTCGTAACCATGGCAGCCCATGTGAATCGTATAGATGATGTTATCCGAAAAGCTGATTTCACAATGCTGACATCTGTGGAGGATTTGGTCTTCTTCGCTGGGAGCGTTTGCAGTAGGAGTTGGAGTGCTTGCTTGGCTGTTGCTAACGCTGCCACAGAACGTGTTGATGTTGGTCTCCAAGCCACATCCAGACACATTACTGCAGCTTCTGTGACATGAGCTTAGGGATTCCTCTCGAGGTGGAGATGTCTGCACACCGTTTGAGCACAAGACCACCTGATCCACAAGGATCGGTTTCTCGTCCTTTAAGGACTGTCTGTCAGGGGATGCTGGACTTTGAAACTCAGGGTCAGGGCTGGTGGACTGACCTGCAAGTGCAGAAAGCTGATCAAGTGGATCTCTACAACCATTTGCACCACTGCTCTGACCTTCATTCTTGTCCACCTTAGGAGGGTGGTTGTATTCCCTGCCATTCAGCTGGTGGATTTTATGTGATAAGTCATTCAAATAGTCAGACTTTGGCACAACAGCTGGATTGAGGTTGATCAAAGACCGACGGCCGAAGCCCAGCGAGCCAGCCCTTTTCTGCAGAGGGCTCAGCATCCTCTTGTTGGAGAAAGATGAACGTACCACCCTGGTGGGCAGGAGCTTGTGGCGGCGGCGGCGATGGTGTGACAGGTTGCTGCGGTCGCTGCATCGGAAGGGGCAGAGGTCACACTTATAGGGCTTTTCTCCAGTGTGGGAGCGCATGTGTGCCTCCAAATGGCGCTCGTATGCAGACGCAAACGGGCACAGCTGGCAGCGGTGAGGCTTTTCACCTGTGTGAAAGGAATAAATCCACACTTAACTGGGCAACAGACGTAATACACTCAATAATGAGCAGAATGGCTTCATTAATGGCATATAACACAGTCACTGGCTGCACAATTATTGGTAGCCCTAACAATTTCTTTGTAATATGTAAAAGTGTGGTTTTTTTTGTTGTTGTTGTTTTTTTACTCTGATCAGAATATTTTGCCTATCAGAGAGCCTTTGGACAAACACAGGAGTGATTAATGTTGGACACCATGAGCAATGTGAAGTATGCTCTAGGATCCGTGATACTGTGGGCCTATTTTTTTAATCCTTTTTAAAACACATTTTAAAAGTATATGTCAGTAAAAAACAAATAAGTCTTTCTTAATTGAAAACATTTACCTTAATGAACACAGAAGTGTTTTTTATCTTTACAAGTAATGCCAATCTATTCAGCCTTTACTGCAAAGTTATCGCTCTGTTATAAACATCTAGGGTGTTAAAATGTAATAGGAGCTCCGACCTGTGTGGATGCGGATGTGCTCAATCAAACGAGCCATGCCCTTGTTGGCATAGCTGCAGTAGCTGCACTTGTATTTCCCATCACAGGTTCTTTCCAGACCATCTGCTTGCAGATCTGATCCATCCTCCAAAGGCAGGCTCACCTCCACTGAAGGGGGGTCCGAGACATTCTGCTCACATCTGGGGTCAACTGCAGACAAATACACGCACTGATATAACTTTAACATATAAATATTTGGGAAGCACATATTAACCCTCGTTTGCATTCTGGTACTCACTACCTTGAAGCTGCTCCGTTGTTTCTTTTCCTCCACAAACTGACCCCGAGATCATGTTGACATGCTGAGTTTGCTGAGTCAGGTACTCTTGAAACTCTTTCACAAAATCCACAGGTTCAGTCTTGATCTCCTCCATGCTTGGATGTTTCTGTTCAACCTGAAAGAACTTCCAGAGATTCATAGAAGGAAACCTGCTGCAGCTGCTCTTATAATCGCCACTAGTTATCACTAGCAGCATAGCTGATATGCCCAGGCTGTTTCATCATCTATCTGACTTTGTTCTATAACAATTAGGCATAAATAACACCTTAACCTGTGATCCAATTTCACGTATCAGCTTCTAATGCTCGGCACAAGGAAATAAGGCTCATGGTTGCTAGGTATCGGCGCTACCATAGCATTTCCTAAGCTCGCACGATAATGTCACCGCCATGTTGTGAGTGGCAGATATTATTAATTAACAATTACAAACACGTTTACTAACACGTCCTTCACGACCCTTTTAAAACGAGCATAATAGGTTCACATAAATTATTTGCATATAGCTTTTAATGTTTATTCAAAAGAAAGTAAAAAGGTAGGAGGAACTAAAGCCTTTTATTTCATAAACAGATGCATTGATGCTGTATTTTCTTACTTAAAGCAAACATTTTTTTTGTCTTTGCTGCTTTTTAACGTAAAGCTTTTCCTTTAGTTTTGACATAATGTGAAACCCTTTTATTAAATCATACTTCTGTAGTTTTCAAAGAAATTTCGCCACACATAATATGGCAGACGTACGGTTTACGACGCCGCACTGCTACGTCAACAGAATTGTTGCCTTCGCTTGTAAATAGAAAATAAGGTTAAAAGAAAATATCAATATATATCAGAAAGTTTATGTATACGCAAAATTTGACAGGTATATTTATATTGATTTATTATCGTGATGTTTTGCCGTTTAAAGTAAGTACATTAGACATTTTGGCAAGAATTTGTAATTTTTGAGTCAAACGTTTCAGTTTTCAAGGCTCCGCGAAGGCATCATCAACTCTCTTGGTCGCAGTTTCATAACAAACAATGGCTGCCCCGTTGGTCAGGGTTTTCTCAAAGGTGAGACACTTATGATGTTGGGTCCTTATGAATAAAACTCTCATCTAACGGAAAAAGCTATTTTCTACCTTATTTATTCATAGTTTCCAAGTTTCTAACCCAGCTAGCTTATTAGACCGTAGATGCTAACCGTTGCTAAACGATAAACCAACGTCTTTGATAGCATGACGCATGACAACTGGGTATAAATCTAACGTTTCCTCTCCCGTTGGCTGCCAGTCCCTCAGACAGTTCTCTCGGCCATCATGGGGAGCATGTCAGTCCGGATTAAGGAGCAGGACAACCTCTGCCCAGGCGGTGGCTTCGAACCAGGCAGGTGGAGATGCGTCCTTCCCTCCTCTTCAGACATACTCAGAGGAGGAGAGCATGATGAGGGACGCAGGTGAGCTGCCTCTATGCTACTGCAGACTGCTGGATCCAGAACTTCATCACTAATTAAACTTTTTTTTTTGTTGCTTATTTGCAGTGAGGAAATATGCACAGGAGCGCATCGCCCCGTTTGTGGCGACGATGGATGAAAACTCTGCCATGGATGAAGAAGTCATTAAATCCCTATTTGAGCAGGGGGTGGGTACAGCAGCATCTTGATCAACTCAGAACATATGGAAATAACTAAGAGGTTAATTCTGTTCCAAATATGGAACTCAAACATATATTTATTACACACAGTCATATTTCTGCATTTTACAATAAGAAACAGTCAAAGAATGTTATGAACATATTAAATATAAGAGCTTTAAATAATATTTCTAGATGGGAATGGCAGCCTGCTGAAAAGTAGGGTCTATAATATGACTTCCATACTATCCAAGGCTTCAGTTCCCATTGAAAAACAAAACATGACCATAGCCTGATGCTACCACCTATGCTTCTCCATGACATCTCTGGTCATATGTTTTCTAAATAACTACCTTACCTTTTGCAATTATTGTAAACAAATTCTACCTTGTTTTTTTTCACCTGCTTTTGGAAAACCTACCGTATAGTATGGCAGGCTTAGCCTAGGCTAGATGTTTTGGTTTGTTAAAGCCTTACCATAGTCCATAATATTGAAAAGACATACCCCGGTATACCAATATCGCAGCTTTGAGAATTTAGTAATAAAAGCGTGTTCTCAACATGTTTTTATTACTTATTTTGCACTGTAGGATGTTTAAAAAAGCATGTTTAAGTAATAATACTGAAACAGAGAAGAACTGACACATGTAATATTAACCAAGAGTTACAGAAACTTTAAAAAGAATCAGTGTTTCTATCAGGGGTGGCCAGGTCATGACATTAAAGATCCATCCTCTTCAGATCCCAAGCAGCCAACACACCAAGTTGTAAATTTTATGATGGAAAAAATGTATTTTTGAAATAAATGTTACAAAAAGTGGAGCATATAACTTCAGAGAGAGCTAATGCCAAAACCGCAGACAAAAGGAAACTATCTGAATATTAACCAACTTATCTAATTGAAAGTAGATAAACCAAATTACAAAAAACCTTACCTCCATAACTAAGAAAAACATGAGAAAACTTAAGGAAACAAAAACGGCACCTTACTCCTACAAGCTCCAGAACTTTGCATGATGTTTTAACAATGTGGCCAGTTGAGTTGAGCTGAGGATGAACCCAAGAAGTCCGCATCAGCAAATTTTATATCCGTCACCTCCAGGAGGCCACCAATTGGACATCTCCATCGTTGTCTAGGAACCATTCAGCGACGGGCACCTGCACACTCATATTTACATAAGTTGATGACGCCAGTCGTAACGATGCCGTGTCAGAGATTTTAGATGCAGGTCAATATTATCTGAAGCTCGTTTGTTTTATTTTTTTATTAGGGTATCAGATTGATATCCTATATCAGTATTTGATCAGTGTACCCCTAATTAAGGATGCAGCAGATTGTTGTTGCAAGTGTTATATGACCTGTCTTTGACTGAAATTCCTGTGGTTCCTTTATTGGAGCTAAACATTTCTTAGCATCATCCTTTACCAGTTTCTTCTCTTTTAATTATTAGTTAATTGTTGTTGGGGCTCTGGCTAATGTAAAAGTAGCTCCAAATGTTCTCCTAAGGATGATCGCTGTGTGTTTAGTGGTATTATTTCTTTGGAAGTTATTTTGTATTGTTCTTCCGCCTGATATCTTCATACGAAATGGTTGCTGTGATGCTTTGCACCCCGTGATATGGGGTTTAGAAGATGGGATGAAAAACCAATCGAAGCAATTCAATAATTAATTTGGGGTAAACTAGAGGATCTTTAAAAATGTTAAAAAAAAAAGCTCAGCTTCAAGAGGAGCAGTGAGGTTTTTGTCTCGAGGAACGCTGAGCCAGCTTTGCACTCTCAGTAGGGTGCATACGAGTTTGTCCAGCTGGTCCACATGCGTTTTGTAGAGCTGAGGGAGGCATTCAGCCGTTTCCCTCATGGTGTCCTGTGAGGGGCACTAGGGGTTCGGGGTCTGCACCCTTTACTTGAGGCCATCCGGTGTCTGTAGAAACGGACCAGGAGTTTGGTCTGCAGGCTGGCATTAAGTCGGTTGGGATAAGGATCATCTCCTTCAAGTCCGAGGCCATGGTTCTAGACCAGAAAAAGGTGGCTTGTTCCTTTCTGGTTAGAGCAGAGCTCTTGAAGTATCTTGTAGTCCTCCTTATGAGTGAGGGGAGAACTTAGCAGGAGATTGACAATCGATCGGTGCACCTGCTGCTATAACATGCTATAATCCATCGGTTTGTTGTGGTGAAGAGAGAGCTGAACCAAAGGGTAAAGCTCTCTCTTTACTGGTCCGTCTACGTTCCTGCCCTCACCTATTGGTCATGAAATCTGGATCATGACCAATAGAACCATGTCACGGATACAAGTGGCTGAAATGAGCTTTCTCTGCAGGGTAGCTGGGCACTCCCTTAGAAATAGGGTGAAGAGATTCATCTAAGAGAAGCACATAGTTGAGCCGCTTCTCCTCACATCAAGAGGAGTCAGCTGAGGTGGCTCTGGAGGGCCCCGCGACCTGGTCCTGGATGAAGTAGAAGACAAAAAGTATGAGTAGAGGGCCTTTAACTAATGGACATTTTGTAATGACTCTTTTATCATTATCTAGCTACATTCTCAGTTCTAAGACATTTCAGACTCTTTATTAACCACATTGTGTTAGTGTATTTTATTACACTTTTACTTCTAAAGAATATACTGGTTTTCTGTTGACTTGTACAGGTTTTATGCCACATATTTTCTGGACAGTAGGATCTGAAAACTAATTTTACTAATGTGTAGGTGGAGAACTTTGAACTACAGAGCTGCACTTTGGAGCTCACTGAAGATACTTCTAAAATTGTCAGCGGTGCAGAGGTGACCCAGACCCATGTCCCAGATATGTTTGTGTTTTTTGGCCAAACTTAATCACAGACCACACAGTCCTGTGAATCAGCCCCTAAAGTTCTATTATTCTTATTCATCATTAAGTTGTGATTCTCTATGTTGTTTGTGCATCATTTTCCTTCCACCAGCTTAATATTAATTTGCTGTGATCAAAAGCTGTCCTCTTTTGCAATATTTAGTAGCCGACTTTCTATGGACAGCTGTCAACCTAATAATCCTATCTAAAATTTGTAGGCAATAGCATGGCCGTAGCATAATGTCTATGTTGGCTTTGATGTAAAATTTAGGGGATTTCATTAGCTCTAAATCACAAACTTCAAAATGAATAATAAAAAAAAAAAGACAAACTACTGACATTGATTTTCTGTGGTATTCTAATTTATTTTATCGCACAAATTTTAAAAATGTCCTACTTTCTTTTGTTTTACTTTCTTTTACTCTACAGCTGATGGGGGTGGAAATTGACCCAGAGTATGGTGGCACTGGCTCTACGTTCTTTTCCTCCATCCTGGTGATTGAAGAGCTGGCGAAGGTGGATCCCTCTGTGGCTGTGCTCTGTGACATCCAAAATACTCTGATTAACACCCTGTTTGTGAAACTCGGAACTCCAGCTCAGAAAGAGAAGTACCTCAGCCGGCTGTCAACTGATATGGTGAGGCATTTAAAGACTTGAAAATACATCGGGAGATAATGACAGATTTGTCATTTGATTGGGATTAGGACTGGGACAAAACATGAAGGGTGAAACTTTACTGTGTAGGTGGGGAGGTAGTCCATCTCAACTACATGGTACACCTGACCAAAATAGAGACCTTTTATTTAACCGTAAATGAAAGCAAAGGTTGTGTTTTTATAGTTTTATTCTTGTTAATCGATTGTTTAAGTAATCGTCAGTTAATTTTGTAATGAATTCATCAATGGCTCAATACAGACAATTTGTGGGGCCAATGGCTGAAGGAATAACCCACCCAGAGCTGGATTGAGGCAAAAATGGTCCAAAAAATATAAAAAAAAAAAGATCTTTTGAA